TCAAGGAGAGAGGAACATCAGAAATTTGTAAATAGCTCTATACTCATAACTCAGGGAAATAGCAAGGTATTATGCACTAAACGGTCAGTCTAACTAGAATTGTGTCAGTGGAGATGGGTTCAAGTAATTGGCTCAATTTACAGTGAAATCGTCAATTACAGTGTCAAGATTAAACTAGCAGTTTAATATCCTTGCAGCATCATTGATCAGGTATGAAGCTAGTGAGAAAACTATAAACTAGAAAAGTAGGCAAATGGGAATTTGAGAATGATAGATTCAATGTGGCAGCTAAAATCAGAGCTGCAGAGTGGTCAGTTTGGTAAGAACTATTCACTCAAATGTCATAGGATTTCACACACAAATAAGCTTTGTTATATAGCTGAATGTAAGGAATACAAAACAAATCTTAATGTAAAATGTTATGCAAATGAGAAAAATAATGGTATTTTGGCAGACTGGCTAACTATAGTGATTGCTTTTTTCAGTGTACATTTACTAGAGCTGCTTGAAAAATATGATTGTGTTCCAGTGGGCATTTGAGTGTTTCAGATTGTTATGACTAGGAATAAATGGTTAATATATCTTTCAGTGACAATGCATATCAAAGATGTCTGAAATAACACAAATCTCAGAGATGCTCACTCCATAGCATTGCTCCAAATTGTTACAGGAGTAGGCAAAAATGTTTGGTTAATTTTAAAGTGGGTAGTACTGTATTAATGCCAATTACAATCAACGAATACATGATATGCACATATATGCTTATATATGAATTACATGAAAATGATGGTAAAAAACATACAAAACAAGAAACACAGAGACAATGCAATAGTACTACAGAAATGTGGAAAACATGAAAGTTCATGTGAAATGCTTAATGCATTTTGGAATCATAAAAATTAAATACAAAAGCCCAAATGTGATATTTTGACTTTTTTTTTTTTTTTTTTTTAATTAAAAGCAGTGGTGAAATAAACACACTTTGACTTTAATGAAGCTGTGTTTTCTAAAGCAAAGTGTCTTTCCTGACTTATATTCATCAATTCTATTGTAGACTTGGTAGAAATCCTGAGGAAGATTTTTGCTTCCTCCTGACTGAAAGTAGTTTGACTCGACTGTGTGTTAGGTAACTGCAGGAGAAGTACTCCTCTGTTTTCCTTACTAGGTGCATCCGGATAACTCGCTGGCTTTCATGTTGCAGCTCAGACAATCTGACCACAGAATAGTTGCGTAATTACCTGATGCTGTCAGCTTTGCTGCCTTGACTGACTGGTACAGGACTCTTCTCGATTGCAAAGGTCTTCAGCACCCCACAGTCTGGACTGTGGAAAGAAAGATTAAAGGCATTTCTGAGTTCTTCTCAGAGGGGGGTAAGACAAACACATTTTACTGTGTGTGTGGTTTTTTCCTTTGATTTTTTTTGTTGCCAGGTCTACCTATCAGTGTGTTAAGATTAAAAGGAAAGAAAGCTCTCCCTTGGGAAGGGAAGGGAAGGAAAGGAAAGGAAATTATATTTTAGCTAAGTGAAAATTTGACTGAAGGATGTAAGAATATATGGAATGAGCCTGACTGCACGTGACATTGTAAGCAGTGTGAGAACAAGTAGATGGACAAAAGAGCACAGAACGGAACTGATGTTCCTTTCTAGTGCTTGCTATTATCTCATTGTAGGTAAACCACATATGTATCTATTCGTGTGAACAGAAACTTGCAACATATTTCCTAGGCAAATAGCAACTCTCTCTCTTTATTTGGTATAATATTAAATTGATGAAAACAGCCAGGCAAAGATGAAAAACAGAATCTTTGGGAAAGAGAGTGTTCTGTTTACAGCATAACATGCTTTCATTCTCCCAGAATGGCTCTTACCTGGCAAACTGAAAACTCCTAGAAAATCATCTTCCACATACAAATATGACAGTTTTAACATTTTCATGGCTCTGGTGCCATGGTTAGCATTGGAAATAACAGAGCAGAAGTGAGAAGGAGTGCTAACATTGCAGAAGGAAGTGTATGAGTATAGAGGTGTGTGTTTCACTAAGAGGAAGCAGGATCCCTATGCCAGAATAGAGCAACCTTGAAAAAAAATAGCCAAACCCATTTAATTCACCAAGCAGAAACAAGGAAATATCACAGTACAGTCTTTCTGCATCTGCCAGACCTTACAATTATGAGAAAGGACAGAATAAAAAACTCCCCTTAGTAAAAATTCACTGCACCCATTACTGACATAACAGACATAGGAAGTGGCTTTCTACATCTTTCCCTTAACTCAAACTCTTGGGCTGGCCTTTCTGATTTAGTTCAGCTTACCACAGACTGACCTACTTCGGAACAAGTGGGTCATGATACAACTTCAAATCAGGAAGCCTAAAACCCGCTCTTCTCTGCAAGCAAGAGTGTGTTTGAGTCAGAAACACTTTCTTACTCTTCTTAGGATGGTACTTTGGGTCAAGAAAAGAGATTTGGAGAATCTGTGTTGGCAGAAAGAACCCACAGTTCTCAAAAGGAAGCTCTTTGTTGTAACCATATTAATTTTACTTCACACTATTCAACACAGTTGTCTCCAGCACTCTACATAAATGTATACTGCAGCCTTTCAAAGGCTTTTGAATACTGACTGATAGTGAGGTTTATAGTAGCTTAACTTTCAGCCACTCCTGCAGACTGCTGACATAAGCAAAAATGCACAGGTCACAACTGATGTATGTTATCTTTCCAAGCTGATAACATCAATAATTTTGATCTCTGTACATAAAAGCTGATTACATTGCTGCAGATCCTGAGTGGATGTCTCAGCATGTCTTTTCTTTCCAGTGCAGATATTTTTGAACTCTCTACAGTGTGCATAGAGTCTTCAAAGCTGGCCTTCCATTGTTCAGAGGCTGTGTGTACCTTTTGGATGCTGAAAATCCTCAGGAAACAATTTTACCCCAGCAGCTGAAAAAAAAATCTTTCTAAAATTATGCACTAGTTGCCTGTTTTCATGAACTCTAAAAAGCTTCGCATTCATGCTTAATAGTATAGGGTTAGTGGTATGGACTTCAGCTCAGGCGCCCTACTTTTGTGCATCATTGCTTGCTTAGCCCTTAAGCAATTACCTGTGTTGAAGTCCTTCCTTTCCCTACAGTTGTTACCTATGCTGCCAAAAGTCTCCATGGATAATCCTACCTGCACCAGAGCTGTAGTTCTGTTTTGTCACATACCATTAGTTACTATCTATTTATTTTGCATGCAAGCCTATCCACAGTGGCACTTTGGGAAAAACTTCATCTCAGAATAGCATAGCTCTTCGCCACCTTCTCAGATAGTCAGCATTTTATTTTTTTCTATTTTTTTATATAGGAATAGAGTAAACAATGCCATCATGCCAGCAAGGAAAGCGGATGAGAGTCGAGGCCTGATTTGACTGATAATGTCATCAGCATCATTACCTTTTACTCCTGATGATGACAAGCTGTGAGATGTGTGTTTGAATGGAGATTTACAGGGAGAAAGTAAGGCAAGAACATGGAAGGAGCTGTTGTTACAGAGCTCTGTGGCTGCTCCACTTCCCTCTTCCCTGTTCAGACTGGGCTGCGTTTGTCCTTTCCATGCCTCATGAAAAACAAACAAAACAAGCTTGTTGGTATATGGTATGCAAAACCTTGAAAAAAAAAAAACTTCTCAAGAATACCACAGTAATTGATCCAATGACGCAAATACCATCCTGAAGTACAGGACTGAAGAGAGGCTTATTGTAGAAAATATATTAAAATAGCAGATACTCCTCATTTATGCTGTATAGAAGTACCAAGCCTTCAAATTTAACATACAAATCACACATAACACTTCTAGCTGGTGTTAACTAATACTGAAGACACCAGAGAGGCTGCATGAATGTGTGTTTGCAAAGAACAGAGAGGAAGGAGTTAATATAGAAGCAGCGCCCATGGCATGTTCATTGTTAGCCTCATTTAAGCTAAAAGAACAGAAAAATATTTATGCCTAGAAAGAATAATTGAGGTGGTTACATATTACGCTAAACAAATATAAAAAACTGTTAAGACACTAGAGGACGCCAAGACTAGGGGTTGTTCAAAAAGTTGTTTTTGAACAGTGTCATTCCAAATAAGTCAGTTCTGTTGTAAAGCTGTTTAGATTGTTTTCAATGAAAATATTTCCTATCTGCCTCAAGATAACCAACCTTCCACATATGAACGAGACAAAAGATCAAACCAAACCCCAGTCATGTCTCACAGACAACCTGGAACTGGCCATTGTATTTTACTTCCTAGCTTTGCAGAACCAAAGGTCTGTCTTCAAAGTGAAGCTGTAGGGAGCCCTGTGAGTGTTTCACACAAGTCACGTACTGTTAGACAGTGACCGGAACCTTGTTCTAGTGACCCCTCACCAATGATACAGGCTGTGAGGAGACTGATGAAATGAAAGGATGTTGGCTGCTTCCCCCTGTCGATGATCTACAGCCATTTCTGCATAAAGATCGACTCTTGGGTACATTATCTTCTAATGGTTCCATGTTGGTTACACTTGTAGCACGCTCCAGCTCAGGCTTTCAGGCTGACACCTTGATTTCCGTGGTGCACAGGTGAAGCCCTGGGCCAGCCCTTCCAGCTGGTGGTGCTCAGGGGGGCACCATGAGGTGACTGCAAGAATGGCAGAAAAGCCTTCAAATACCGAGCCCACACACAACACATCGTTACAGGTAAAATTAATAGGGAAAGGTACAAATCAGTCCACCTGGGAAAAAGCAAGCCTAACTTTGTATATTGACGAGCTCCCAGGTGACATCTTGCTGTTACAGCAGCTAGTTCTGCTGAAATGCAGGTTGAAAGCCTGGATGATGGAGAACAGAGGAAGGAAGAAACCAGCGCTCTGCTGCCCGCCTGTTGCAGACACGGCACAGCCCTCGCTGTGAGGGACCCCTGGCAGGGCACCACCACCACCACCATTTGCCTGCCCCTCAGGCGGCGGGGCCGGGAGATGGCGGCCGCCGCGGCGGGTGGCGGCGCACGCGCGCAGGCTCTGTTTGGCCGTTGCCGTGGCAGCGGGACGGGGCTCGGGGCTCGGGGCTCGGGCTGGCGGCGCACGATGGGGCTGAGGCGGCTGCTGCTGCGCTACTACCCGCCGGGTGCGGGGCTTGGCGGCCTGGGGACGGCTGGGTGGCTGGGTGGGGGCTGTCGGTAACCACGGTCCTTCCTCGCGTGTGCACCTTGCTCGTGTGGGGCGCTGTGGGGCACAGGGCAGCTGCTGTAGGGCTCCTGTCCGCCCGCGGCGTGCTGCGGAGGGGGTGCTGGTGCTGGTGCTGGCACCTCGTGTAGGCGAGGCAGGTGTTTGCGCATCGCCTCGTCCTGCTGAGGCGCGGGGCGTTTAAAAGTTCCCAAATCGCGGCAATTAGCCCCAAAAAGCGTACGTGTGGTGTAACGGCCTGCTTAGTGGAAAGTTGCCGCGTTGCTTATTTTTCGTGTGGTTGTTGTGTGGCTTCTCGGAGCAGCTCCGTGCTTTGATGAGGTATTGGCAGCGAGCTGGCCTCGTCGCTAACTCCTTCAGGAGAGCAACCGCTTTCACGGAGTGGAACGAGGTGGAGAGGGCAAGCCCAGGGAGTGTGATGTGATGACAGATCTTTCTGTCCAATTAAATGTTTTCCTTACATACAGTGACGTGAAAATTAATCCAAATTATCCTTTCCCACAGAAAAGCAAGGAGCGGCAGAATACTAAGCAGTGAGGTTAAACGTTTTAATGCGTTAGCTCAAAGTACATCTTGTGGAGGTGACGGAGCACACCTGGAAATAGGAAGTGTGCTCTGGTTTTCTGTGTGCCACTGCACATAGGCCTTTGCAAACAGTGAAATAAATGTAACAGTTTTTGTAAAACAAATTTTCTGGGCTTCTTGGAAATACAAACTGCAGCAAGTATCTTCAGTACAGTTTATTTGAAAACAGAGCTGATGAAATCATGTGAAAAGTGGTTGGGGAAAAGCAAACACCAACAACTTGTTATTTTCCAGAATTGAAAATGGATCATAAATATTTAAGTAATAAGATTTAGTATTTGTTATCATATAAACATAGCGGAGTTGTTCTGCTGAGAATTCCTAACCTCCTCCTTGTCTCAGTAGCTGGAAGTAGGTCTGCTAAGTCAGTAGGGCAACACAAGCAGAAGCATTAACAGTATGCATTATAAAATCCCTAACATCGAATTATAACCTGTTTATCATATATTTTTAAAGGAATTATTCTGGAATATGTACAAGGTGGTGAGCCGAAGACCAGACCTATAGACCTACTTGATCTTAGTCCTGAGTAAGTATTTCAGGCAACAACAGTATCTGCTGTTTTATAGCGTGCTTATATACAATTCTGATTATTTTAAACATAATTGAGGTGAATGATGTTTCTTTCGCTAAAATGCACACTGAAAGATCCAAATATAAAAACTATTTATTTTTGCCTACCTGAAACTGTCCAGCTCAGTATTCTTGGTATAACAAGTCACTGTGTGAAAGATGAAAGTTGTCTTGCATTACTTAACAGGAGTATAACCATTGAGGGGATACTAATTTATGGGTATATTAGTAGCTCCTGTTTAGAGGACTGAAATAGAAAATCCCTTTTAGACTGCAATGATTTCCATGCTAGCAGGAAGGCTAGGCTTTCTCAGTAGGACCGGTTATAAGTGTATGTTTGCACTTTCAGTGCTGCATATTGTCAGTCCTCAGTTTATCTCATGGATGGGTAGGATTCAGCAGTTTATCTGATTGTAGAAAATGAAGATCTGATTCTACAGGTTAGCTGTGAACTACTTCCTGGGGTCTTTATGAGTACCAGTGGACTGTGGACCATGTTCTAGTAATTCCTATCATAATTATGAGTTACAGATATATGAGATACATATATCTGTGAAGACACACACAGAGATCATTTTAATGCTTTCCACATCTAATTTTTGTTGTTGCTACTTCATGGGCAATTCATGAAGCTCCACTGTAATTTAAATGTATATGCCAAAACCATGTTTGGATGCACATCTCCCATGTCTGACCCTCTGTGGAAACCCATTGAGAAGATAAAGCTCTTGCTAAGCTAAAATTCTAACAAGTTAAATCTGACTGAACTGCTTTACTAAAGAGGGAAAGAAGAATGCAAGAAAGATTTATTCATATTTCTTTTAAGCCATTACAGGATGAGATAAATGAATATCATTTAACTTCTTGCTTTCATTTCTCTGCAAGTAAATAATATGCTTGCATTTATAATCATAACTATTGCCAGAGGATGAAATCTGTTTTTTTTTTTTCCTCATAATTAGCACAGATGTAATAGCCTTAGTAGAAGAAATTCAAAAAGGAGAACCTCTCATCACAGCTTCATGCAAGGAATATGTCATAAATTTAGTACGAAGATTGCAGGAGAAGCTAGGGGAACAAGAAGATCACAAGTTCTATCTTTTTAAGGTCAGAGTCATCTTTAAAATAATACTGGAGGTTTGGGAGGTTTCATTGGAATGTTGTGATTATGTTTTTAGAGCTGTGTATTGTACCTGAGAGCAACATTTGGACTTCATTACTAATTTCTTGTGTCTTTTTGATCATGTCTTGTGTCTTTTTGATCACATTGTTATAGAGACTGAATATGGCCTGGTTGTGCCTGTCAGGAATTCCCCCAAAAGGCCAGAGGTATAACTGTTCCTAAACTCTATTTACACAGGCATATGTACAAGGGTGTGTTTTGGATGGAAACAAATAACTACCTTATTATTCAAGTAACTCTGTGGACAAGCAACACCCATAGTTAAGTTTAAACAAAAACTACAAATAGAACCTAAATAATTAGCTGCTGGGAAAGGCCCTGAGTATTTTTATACCATTGTCTTCTTGTTCTTTGTTTTGTGGAACTTAAGTTTGATTTAGATATTTGGGTACATACAGTAATACTAGTTGTAATTACTTTCTGCCAGCCAGGACATAAGCCATTAAACTGGATAAAGAGCAGTTTTCAAGGTTAGGGTTCATATAAGCCTTCCATAGTGAATTTTGTCAATAGGACTGGAATAATAAATGGAATAATGATAATAAAAACATTCTTCATTCTTTTTTCCTTGGAAAGCTGATGAAAATGTAGTGTATGGGCATGTACCCACACTTCTTTTCTTTGAGTAACAGAGTCATAGTTTCTGTGTTTATACTGTGTTTTTTTTTTTCCTAAATTAATTTGTCTTATTTTAAGTTGTAAATATTAATACGTAAATATCCACATCAATATGCGAATATGGATGGTTTGATCTTCAGTTTACAGACAGCACTTTGTAAATGTATTTGAAGTAATACAGCTTTTTAAGAGCAACGACTAGAGAGACCTTTTGGGACTTCAAATCCAGGATTCAGTCTATCAGAAGACAACAGACCTAACTGTATTTAATTAGGCAAAGAAAAACGAAATTGCTTCCAGATGTGGCATGTTGCAATCTGAAACAACTAAGTGTTCTGTCTTCATTGTGTCAGCAGATGGCGTTGTGTAGCTGTTAAAAATTGCTGGTCAGGAGTACGGTATTGATCGTCCTCAGCATAGAGAGAGAAGGGAGAAGTTTTGTGTTGGTTGGTTTGGTTAAAAACAGAATTTGCAATGTTGTTATATATAATTTGGATTCTTCTGACCAACAGTGCACATCTGAGTGAATAATACAAAAAATCTGTACATTTAACCTTGAAAACAGAGCTTTCTATAATACAGTTTCTTAAAACACAACAAAGACTTTTTAAATTTAAGGTATGCTCTCAGCTGTTATAATAACTTGCTTTTCACAATCTTCTAAAATTGTTTGTTCCTCACCAAGACTGACAAATACTCAAATGTATGTCCAGATTTCAGTGTAAATAACCTAACTGTCATTTGTTGGGTATAGTGCCGTGTTTGATCAGTTCAGAAATACTTGAGGAGGGCAAATCCAATTGATGCTGGCTTAGTTCTTTCACAAAAGAGTAGTTAGAAGTGTGGGGAAAAAAACTTGGTTTAATTTTCAGTTCCATTTAATGCATGTAAACGAAACGGGTATCTGACTTTCTGAGATACTAATAAAATATAAAATATGAGTGTGAGCATGATTTTTTTTAAACAATGTTCAGTACTTGCATTGTTTGGAAATGAATATTTTTTTCCTATTGCTCAAGAGCATGATCTTAAGTGAGTAGATAGGCAGCGAGATAAATCCATCCTTTGGTTATTTCCAGTAATTGTGGTGACAGTGCAGTGTTAGGCACCCCGCAGGGAAGCGAGCCATTGTAATGAGTTCTCAGGTTTTAAATTACTGCATTGCAAAGGCACTCTGCACTGATTTGCAGATATTATCCTAGGGACTTCTGTAACAGATCTCGCAGAATGGAGGTATGTTTTTTAATATTGCCCTACAATTTGGTTATTATATCATTTGCACAAGAAATTCTTGCAGGCTTGGAGTTCTGTGGATGAAGCAAGTGCAGCAGTAGGCATTGAAAGAATAGCGTTAGTCTTGTGGTCTGAAATTGAGCATAAACCTATCTAATTTTCCTCCCTTTTTGTTCATAACTGTTAAATATATTTGTTGTTCAGATTTGCCTGCATGGAGCCCTAAAGATGTCATGGATCAAATTTCCATTAATTTCCATAATTTTTCATACTTATATGCAGACATTTGTACACAGTGGGTGTTTCAAAAAACGACAACAAACCAGAACCAAAGTATTTTTGTCATTTCCATATCTTGATTACCCATTCCTATTCTTGCAGCTGAAAGGACAACTTGTTTCACTTTCTTTAGAGAACAGAAATTTCTCTCTCTCTCTGTCCCTTACCTGACCATTGTTATTTCTCTTCCATTTCCATGAGTTCATACTCTTCTGAGTTGAAGATCTCTGAGCTTCCATTATTTTCCTTTCTGAGACAGGCAGCTGAGAAAGCTAGAGATGAGAACAAAAAGTTGAAGCCGTGGTAATATGTCACTGATTAAATGGCATTGCTTCGTAAGTCATTCCTTCTCCATTCGTGATGCTACAGAGCAGCGGACCACTGCTGTATTTTTATCATCCCTTCACTCTCAGCAGTTGCTGTGATTTCCCAGGTCATTATATTGTTATTCTTTAGAGGAGAGTCCAGCTTGTGGTAGATGGAAGTTGTTCAAATGCAAACCATATTATACAGTAGCCAGATTATATATTGGCACACTGACTTTTATTGGCCAGTATCTGAAACTATGGTTACCTATGTGTCTGAAACTATTTTTATATATGTTTAATAGGCTTTAGTATATGTTATTATTGGTATGAGGTAAGTTTACATTAAGCATATGTACTGTCTGATTAGAGGGCCTTTGAAACATTAGAAAAACAGTATCCTCCACAATCTAAACAACACAGGCAGAAATCCAATCTGAAGTCGCCTCATTGAATTTTGTTTTGATAAATATCTTTGTTACTGTTCTGTATGCTTTTTTGTCATGACCTCATAGAATATAGCTGCAGCTTATTTTTGTTCTTCCTGTTTTTAAAAGCAAAATCATATACTAGCTGAAAGCATCCCACATATGACATAAAACATTCAGAATACTCAATTCATCTGGATCTGATGTTTCACTATTTAAGGCTTAATAGTGGTTAGGATTTTCTTCATCAGGGAGCTCACTAGGCATGTCACCTTCACTCATTTGTTTTTGCCCTGTCAGCTAAGGCCTAGGTTACCTCACTGGTCTCAGAGAAATTGGAGGAAAAGCAAACAGGAAAACACAGTTCATTCAAGTGAAAAAAGAATTCTAAATCAATGCTTTGTAATGTCTGCAGCAATAACTTGCTGAGGCATGACTTTTTTGGTCATTTGTTTTTTAAGTTAGAGATTGATATATTACGGCTGTAACTGCTAATCTGACAGGAGGAGAAGATTGCACAATCACAAGATGTTAGGGATCGGAAGGGACCTTGAAAGATCATCTAGTCCAAACCCCCTGCTGGAGCAGGGACACCTAGATCATGTCACATAGGAAAAATATTAACCTATTGAATATTTTGAATATATATATATACATGTATATATATATTTATGTTATTTTTTTTTTCACGTGTCAACTGTTTTCTCCTTTCTTCCCCCTTCTATTTCAGGTCCTTAGGGCACATATGTTACCACTGACTAATGTAGCATTCAATAAATCTGGTTCTCGGTAAGTTGTTTTTAAATTCTAGAAACATAATCCCTAATTGAAATCTTGTATTTGTAATTTACATTGCAAATCAAATTCACTGCTCTTATCTTTCTGAAAAAAAAGTCAGCCATGCTATTTATAAACAATGTTAGCCATGACTAGGGATTAGACTTTAGGCTTCTGTAGGAGAACCAACGGGATATGCAAAGAAGTAGTGAGTGAGATTCAGTGAATGTCATTTTCTTCTTGCAAGATGATAGTTTGTTGACAATTACCGTATTTCACAAAGAAGCGCCTTTATGGCAATACAGCAAGCACCATTGAAAGCTGAAAGAGTCTTTGACATAAATTAATTTGGGACTTTCGTGCTTGTGGAATTTTGTGTTGATTGATTTCACTATGGACCTATACCAAATCGTTTTTCTTTAATGTCTTGAAAGCAGCAGCTTGCATTTTAATTGAAATACACTAAAGATTAGAAACAAGTGTTTTATATCTCTAAATAAATAATAAAAAGGGATCTTCCATGGTCATTAATATTTTAGAAAGAAGAGATTTAGGGTCTGAGACAATGCTAACTGAAATTTGTGGAAGTCACTTATTTTCTGATGTACCAGGAGCAGTAACATATTCACAGTATTCAGAAATTATTTTCTTTGTTTTAGCTTTATCACTGGAAGCTATGATAGAACCTGCAAAGTATGGGATACTGCATCAGGAGAAGAGCTACGTACACTGGAGGGACACAGAAATGTTGTTTTTGCAATAGCTTTCAATAACCCTTACGGGTAATTTATATTTTTGCTGAATAAATAACAATTGCTAATTGCATTATTTTGCAAATACAACACTGGTACTAGAGTTTTGAAGTAAAATACACTATCTCAAAGAGTTCAAATTCTGAATTGGAAAAGTTCTACTGTAGCTAATCACCAGGATGACACCGTGTATTGTTTGTATAAGCCATACATATAAGCATATTTTCTGCTTTGATTTTTTAAATGATATTTAGAAATTCAAACCTTAAATTTCATTAGGTATGCAGTGTCTTGATAAATCTATGTACATGCCAGTTTAATGTATTGTAACACAGATTTATTTCTGATAATATCTACATCATCAGATTATAATCATTCCTTACTGCCTCCATGTAATTGTATGTGAGATATGTATTTAATACAGTTTCTGTTGCTGCAGTTAAAGAGAAATATTTCTGTCATAACAAAAATGGATTTCTCCACTTTTTGTTACATGTGTATTACATAGTCATTACTATTTAAGACATGATATAAAAATGTCAGAGATGTTGAGTAATTTTTATAAAATCCACAGGGTGCCGCTGTATGAATGTCAAATATGCATCTGTGCATCTTTTGTTTTCTGCAATAACTGTTTGCCCTAGGTCAGAATTGCCACCTGTTAGATGAAGAAAATTATGTTAGGCACTGACTTTTCATTGTTGTTTGCTTCCTGAGGAAGCTTTTGTATAAGTTAGTCGTTTTGCTTCTCTGCAAAATAAGATAGAAAATAATTCCTGTGTTTATATTGAATTACATTACTGCTTTCACTGTCAAATGCCCTATTTACCAGTTAAGCAATACACAGTTAACATCAGGAATTAAATGTTAAAGACTTGTTCTTATACTACTTGGAGCATCATCATTTCCTTCAGAATGAAAAGACTTTTTCCAGCCTAGAGCCCACTATGTCAACGTCTTATATTCTGATATTATTTTTTACTTTAAAATAATAATTCATGAAATTGTTTTATATAGTTCAAGTGAACTAATATATAACAAAAAACTGTGCAGAGGTCAATAACTAGACTGTAATATAGGAGTGGAGAAGCAATATATAGAGAGTGAAAACCTGATGGAAACCTTGTGCTATTTTAATTCAAAACTTCAATTTAAAAAGACCATTTTTCCGCAAATTTTTAGGCTTCAATATCCATTCCCTTGCTATATTTTCTGGGTACCTCACTTCAATCTTGCTCTAACTGCAGTTAGTCACAACTCTTCCATTGACTTAAGTGGGAAGAGAGTTCACTCACTGAAATTTGCGGAAACTGCTTACAAAAAACAGACTGGAACAGTTTATAAACAAACAAGCCCTCTCAGATGAAATGACACAGCTTTTAAATACTTCTGGAAGTACAGCAGATAACCTCATTCCTAATGTAAGTTCCTCATCAGTTATCTTCTAATTTTTCCCATTAATGTAACTTCTGCTTGTAAAATCCTGCTCTAGGATCTTGTAGTGTAGCAGAATGCACCAAAATGCATGCAAAAGCTGAAACTCCTTCATGCAGCTTTCTGCAGGGAACTCCAGATACATTGACCTCTGTCTTGTGTCAAGCTTGTGCAGAGGGAGTGACTGCTGGCTGAAGTGATGGCAGGTGCCCTTCGTTCTGTGCACGGGAGCAGAGGTAGAGAAGGTCACAGCTGCCACTCTCTTCTTTGCAAATCTGCAAAGGAGCAGTCAGTACTTAATAGAATTTATTGCTAAACTAAAACACCATGCAAGCAGGAATCTGAAGAAATATACTGCTCTTATGCTTTGAAGACTGGGTATTGTTTCTGTGAGTTCTACTGTCTTTGAAGTCAAAGACTTTTCTTCCAAATAAAAATGACAGTGTTTTTCCATTTAGTGACAAGATTGCCACTGGATCATTTGACAATACCTGCAAACTGTGGAGTACAGAAACAGGAAAATGTTACTATACTTTCAGAGGACATACTGCAGAAATTGTGAGTGCTGATGAATGTTTCTTACTCCTTTCTGTTTCCGTGCAACATTATAAATAGCTTTGGGTTCCGTGTCTCTGGGAGCTGACATTGGAAGGGGCAGACGTTTCATAACATCTGTTCACACATTCAGATCCTGAGAGTTTTCCTGCTCTGCACAAAGAAAAGATACTCTGAAAGTTCTTATGAAATAGAACAAACTATATACAGTTGAAGTGTTTATTTTTTTCTACATTTTTATTTGCTAAATGTTTAAAGGTTTTTGAAAAACACAACAATCTGAATTTTCAATTTATTGCACATATTATTCCTTGATTTTTTAATGTATTGTCCTGTTATGTTTCTACATATGTTGTATTGCCTCTCATTTGCAGAGCTAAATACACAAGAACATCACTGCTTGCTTCATGCCCAGGACCAACTGGAGCCACAGAAGAATCAATTTCTGAAATAAAATAGCATTTTAGTATGTTAACTGAGAGTATGTGGGATGATGAAATGTTAATGATTTATGACAACGAAACAGTTTAAGCTTAAAGATCTTTGATTTCCATTCTGGTTCCTCTATTAGCAACAGCAAATGTCTTGATGCACAGCACTTCAATTTAAAAGATCAGGGCAAACCCACTAAAACGCTCTGTTTCAGTGCAGAATATATTTCCGAATAAAATTAACTATAGAATCATTATTCAATAAGCATTTCTGGAAACTGTTTCTGGAAACAGTCTGCATGTATGTTGTCAGTTGCAAGACCCGTAACTAGTGTGAGAAAATGCTGCTTTACAATGGGGGAAGGCAGTGTTGGTTTCAGTAGGTTTTTAATTCTCTGTATACTTCTGAGACAGGTCTCCCTTACCATGAAGAACATGATTGCTCATTGAGATAGTTTGTAATGATTTTGCTTCTACAAATAGGTTAGCTAAAGGCCCTTTCGATTTCTGACTTCTGTAGGGGTTTAGTCTGATGTATAATGAGTTTACTACCCAAAGTGTTCTGAGGTGTGCTCGCAAATAATTAGTAGAAGATTATAGCCAGCAGAAAATTCTGTTTCTCTGAATGAGACTTGTTTCTAAAAGAAGGCTGTTGTTGTGGATGCCCCTGGCAGGGGCATGTCCTTGGCTATTCAGTATTAAAAAAGACAAATGGACAGAATGGAAGTGCATGAGTGGTTTTAGCTACTGTTTTCTTTTTTATATGGCACCTCCAGCTCCTTGTTAGCAGAACAGTCATATTGAATAATTACAGAGAATGCTTTTTTTTTTTTTTTTAATGTGAAAAAATGAATTATGGAAGTTGTTGAACTTTTGTTCTTGCTCTTTCATAAGTAAATATGATGTTGTGGGGGCACCTATGGCAAATGGCCTAGATAGTGACACCTGTTAAAAGTGTGAGTTTACAGAGTGTGTGTGTATTCAAAACTGGAATGCTTTTGCCCCAGACTGATTTTGTTAAAGAGGAAGGCTACCATCAGCCCCCAAGTGCTAAATGGGAGCACTCTCAGCCAACTTGTACAGTAGCAGGGGAATTTCAAAGATAGTTTTGAAATAAAGAAGTGGAAGACCCTGAAATGAAGTATATGAGAAACAAGATGATTTATAACAAGGTTGGGGAAACATTAGACTGGAAGCAGCAGTTGGGAAAAGCTGCTCTGACATGGTCAGAAGTCACCTTGACCATCACGATCTCAGAGTAGATCAGACAGTGTAGCCTTATTTTTTGAGAGACCAGGTGGAGTCTGGCTGGTGGATTGTCAGCATGGCTGACAAGCAGGCTTCCTTCCCACCCCATAAGGTGTGAGTATGTGAATTTGGATGCCTGCTCACTGGCATGGGGATCAGCAGATTACATGAAGTGACATAGATTTACCTACAGCTAGAGCACTTGTGTCTCCTGTGGAAGGTGCGTGCAAGTAGGGGAACACATACTCGTAGAAGGTGGTGTGTTTGTAACCCACACATCCTGGGAGAGGCGACGTGAGCATGCGGGAGTGTGGCAGTTTGGGTGTGACTGAAACTTCTTGGAGCTGTAGAAGAGTGTTTAGAAATTTGTTGCTGTTAAGATTGCATAAGATTCTGATGCTGTGGTTTATTTACATATATTGATGCTGAATATATAGCTCTCTGCCAGATATGTATGCATTGTCAATACATTAATAAACTGCTTCAATTCTGTTTAAAACTTTGTGAACTAGATTTCTCCCTGTGATGCAAAATGAAGCACCTAAATAGTGAATTATAATCCAGGCTCAGAAAACAATACAGGGAAAGTTCCAGTAAGTCTTTTTAACACAATGTCATTGTAAAGCAGCCAATTAGTCTTCTAGATTTGAGTAGTCATCAGGAGCCATGGGACAAGGATTTGTTGCTCTCCTAATGAACTGTCAGCCTTATAATTTTTCTGTAAGTCATAAACTATTAAATCAGACTGTTGTCTTGTTTAGAAATATTGTGAGCCTCTTTCTTTGTTTTGAGAAAGGGTATGCAACTAATCTTTCCCACATTTTTCTCTCCAATGTTTCTTGCTACAGGTATGTTTATCATTTAATCTTCAAAGCACATTGGTGGCAACTGGAAGCATGGATACCACTGCCAAGTTATGGGATATAGAGAAAGGAGAAGAAGTAGTTACTTTAAGTGTATGTTTTCTTTCTTTATGTTTTTAAAGGTGTTCCTTCCTTTCCTAGTTTTCTGACTAACAGTATAACTAATACTACAGTTTTAAAACTTGCACAGAATTTCTGTTACTAGATGGTCCCACAGAAGCTGCAATTACAAAACATTAAGAAAGCTTGAAGAGAATGATAAGATTATGATGTTTTATAAGGAGTCCTGTTTATAAAAAGGCAGATTTTCTCATTTTAGTGATGTTACTGTTACAGGTTAGAATGTCTTCCATTGCATTGGACAAATCATGTTGTTAATACTTTAATTTATCACCTCATCTGCCTAAAGTAACTCTGAGAAATCAGTGTCATCTACATGGATCTTCTTCCTGTAAATACTGGCGGAGGAAAGCCATCCAGTTACCTCTAGATTGTGATTTTGTTTTGCTCTACATGGTTTGCTGGGATAAATGAATCATCTGATTTTGGTATGCATTGATGAACAAATGTGATTCTGCTAAAATCAAATATGGAAAAATACCAGTCATGTATCTGATTCATTATCTATCACTGGCTCAGTGTACTCACTGCTTAAGTGATGTGCCTGATTTTTTGCAGTTGTTGGGATATCGACTGTTCTACAGTCCAGTAGGTCTTTTTGTTAAACTTGTGATATATTGGACAAGGCAGTAAATAAGATACTAAATTGTCGTAGACAGATTATGCTGCTGAAAAAGCTACATATTGAACTAAGGTAATGGAAAAGTTCTATTTGCATTCTCACAGTCCTTTCTTAAAATTTTCTCAGGGGCATTCCGCAGAAATTATTACATTGTCTTTTAACACCACCGGAGATAGGATTATCACTGGCTCCTTTGACAATACAGTAGCAGTGTGGGAGGTTGTCACTGGCAGGTACTAAAGTACTAATAAATATCATTTTGCATTACATATTTAATGACAAACGAAAGAGACAATGTTGAGCTACAAATTACAGACTTTTTTTCCTTTCTTTTAGATTCTGTATTCTTTCATCTATTCATCTCTTATCTAGTTTTATTCTTCTAAAAAGAAGTGGCACTCACCAAATGCTTTTGTATGCAATGGGTTTAGGTTTTTGTTCTAAATTCCCATTTATTCATGGGATTGGAGGAGGCAGACAGAATGGTTATATCCTACACTTGTTACTGGAGAATGCTCCAAACAGGAAAATATTTTATCAGCATGGAAACTTGTGGTTTTGAAAGTGTCTAGAATTTCTAGATGGAACTGACTGTTCAAGTAAAATAAAGACTGTTATTTCATAGAAAATTAGTCTGGTCACATTGACTTTAAAAAAAACACAGTGTCCATTTTCCTCCTCACACTACTTTATGTTAATGTATATTTATGAAGAGGAGAAAATCTGGTCCCTCTGACTGTAGAGAACAAAATGTCTTTATTATGCCACCAAATAATAACGTAATAGCTAAGTATGATCTTGTATTATCCTGAAAAATCCTCTTGTTTTTTTCAACTGGAAACTCAGTACAAGTAGGATAATAAAATGATTGCTCTGATTACTGACAAAGTAATTTATGAAGATAAAGATACTGTGTCTTCAGAGGTGATTTTTTTTTTTTTTTTTGCAAGAGCAAGAAAAATACCACTGAAATTAATAAATAAAAGGAGAATGGGAGCATAATAATATTTTGGAGTAAAAAAACAATGTTGTATAGCTTCAAAATAAGAGTTATCATGATTTTAAAAAGTAACATACACACATTAGTGTGTACATTTAAGGCTTGATTCTGTTAGCTTTGAGCTTATTCAACTTTAGCAGTTTAATGTTTGGTAGCACCTTGGAGTCACTCATTCAGCAAATAGGATGTTTGGTTTCAACTTAATTCAGCCTGGTGTTCTTGCAAATATTTTTGTTTGAAAACAGCTTCTTCCAGCTTCTTGTCTAAGGCTGCACTGAAGTCAAAGTCTTGGGATTTATTGTTGCATTCTTTTTTCTACAACATGAGTGTGGGCTTCACATCAGTGGCAATAGCAGGAAGTGGAATATGAAGGAAGAAATTCTTTAAACACTGGTAATTCTGGTAATTAGCAAGTGGGCAATACAATTGTGCCAGGGCCAGCATTCAGCCTTCTAAATGTCAGTGGGACATGGATGCCTTTAGTAATAAAGAGGAGGTATGGTTAGAAAGACTTGTGAGCAAATCATGCTTGTCTGCACACAATGTCAGGTAGATTTGCAAAAAGCTTGTATGTGAGGTTGTGTGCCCTTCCTTCACCACATGAAATCACAGAGAAACACTGCTTTCCAAATGTGGGTATAGTTGAAGTTTTTTTGAAATATGGATTATATGGAATATATTAATTTAGTTTTTGAGTATGTTGGCTGACTCTGATAGAGTACCTGTATTCCTCAGTTCTTTTCAGGGTAGATACCCAGAAATGTCTTGAGGGAAGCAGACATAGTAGACAAGAAAGAAACCTCAAGAAGACTCAAGTTATTCATTTAAATTGAAAATTTTATATGGCATTTCACCAGCCTGTTTTCTTGGTTCTTCCTGATTAGCTCATGGTTTCTGTGAGATGTGTTCCACACGTTCATATTTATTCTGCTTAATTACCAGAGATTTACACTGAGGTCTGAAGCCTGGGCTGTCTTTTCAAAATATGGGAATCAAAGCTTTATCAACCTCTTTCATGATTAGATTTTTTGGGTATTAGTTATTAGAATAATAACATTCTTGATGGCCAAATAATACATTCAAAAAATAACAAAGATAACTTTTCTGTTTGTTAATTTTTGTATTTACTGTAAGAAGCTCTGCTCCATTGCAACAATGCAGGCCTCACATTGTTAGAAAGGAAAAGTAGACATTCTATAAAACAACATGAGTAGCATCAAGTTTTTATTATCATAAACAAAGAATTCAATTGCTCAGGAGACTTGCTTTGTGATGTGTTCATTTAGCATATATATTAATTTATTTACCCTTCCAAATCTTATGTGACAAATAAAAACATTTCAGTTACTTAAACTCATTTAGTTGTTTTTCTAGTCATTAGTTTATCCATTAGTTAAAGCTGTTTTCTATTAATGATTCTATGATATTAGCATTGTGATAATATCCTAATTTACTTATCCTTTAATATGTATATCAATTAATCTTTTTTAGGGTTCATTGCTTTATAGGCCATTAATTCATAGTAAGCAATAATGGCTAATTGTACCCGTCTTTATTCAGCTAAAGCTGATTGAAGATTTTAATGGAACTAGTATTTGTCAGTCCTTGTGCAGCAAGTTTAGGATTAATGAGGATTAGAAATCATATTCCAATTTGGCTGTCATTTGCTTGTTACTTGGGTACATGCTTACTTTAAGTACCTGATTAAGTTCCATTTGATATTCAGTGGATTTTAGAAAAGATTTAGATTAAATACTCTGGTGATATGGAGTTTTAAAAATACACTGTTTACAGCTCATTGAAGTAGGATAATGGGAGAGTAATGTGGAAAAACTTGCTGCATATGATTTATATCTAGATGAAAAGAAGAAATCGGTCTCACACTGAAGTCATCACATTTCACTGGAAATACAGTCATTAACATATTTTTGAAACAGAAGGGAGGACTCTTTCATTTTATTCTTCACTGCCTCTTTGTCTCAAAGAGAAACAATGGAATTGATGTAGTGCTGGAATGTTAAATGAGCTGTACCTCTCCGTTTAATTGCTTTGATGGATAAAGTAGTGAAGATTTGACACCTTTATATATATATATAATATACCGTTTTATAAAGCTGCTTTTAATTTATATTGTTAGATCATAATACACACTAAAAATCTAAATTCTCTCTCTTTTTTTTTTTTTTTTTTGTAGGATGTTACATACTTTAATAGGCCACCGAGGAGAGATTAGCAGTGCACAGTTCAACTGGGACTGTTCTCTCATTGTCACTGGATCAATGGACAAAACGTGCATGGTAAGGAACTTGAATATGCACTGGACACTCCTGTACATAAGCTCTCTTGATATTCATTATAATGTAGCAAGCAATTAATTGTCAGATTTTATCGTGAATCCCTGTTTTCATTCAGAAAAGCACTGTAGACTATTTTAAAAACTTTTCTATAAGTTAGTTAACTGTGTGGTTTAAAATGTCACCCAGTACAGCTGAACTAAAAGGCAGACCTGGGCTGTTAAAAGTAATTACTGTTGTTAGTATGGAAAATAAAGGACTATTTTTACATGTCCTGGAGTCTAATTCTTTTTTTTTTCTTTCTTCTTTTTTTCCCCTTAATACTTGTGTCACAAGCATCACATGTACTTTTGGCAGGTCACTAGGAGATAGATTTTCAGTTGGATTGCTTCTGATGAATGCCTATGATTGTTAGCATTAAACTGCAAAAGGATTACATTTCAGTGGTGAGAAATTGTCCTTATTTCATCTGCACTGATACTGCACACACAACTGAAATAAAATTGAGATTGAGGTGCTCAGCAGTTTGGCAACTTTGGTATGCCAACACTTAAAAAAAAAACAACAAAAAAACAACAACAACAAAACAAAACCAACCAACCAACCAAACAAACAAACAAAAGCAGTCACATTTATAGCATTCTTGTTTTGCTCGCTACTGGAACAGACAAAGCTTTACAGCTTTTTATTTCCCAAATCCACCTCTTCACAGTTTATCATACAAAAGGTTTTTACCAGAAAGGTGGAGTTTTGCTTATCAGAATCAAAGCAGAATCACAGAATGGAGGAATTAAGTGTCTGACTCTGAAGGTCCAAGCCCACCATGCTGTGTGTAATAGCTGAATACCTCGAAAGATATTTCAGAAGATAAGCTCTTATGAATATTTTTGTGTGTTGCAGACACCTTCCCACCTTGGGAATTCAAAATGCCTATATTTAAAAAACAAAACAAACAAACCAAACCAAACCAAATCAAACAAACAAACAAAAAAAACCACACCAGCAAACCAAACCCCACTTCTTCCTTCATTTTAGGCAGCATAAGCAGATTGTAACAATTTAGACAGATACTGGTTCGTTTCCTGAATTCTCTCTCTTGTATCTTGTTTACTGTATTTTTGGAATTCTGTTCTGTTTAGCTCTTACGGAAGCCTTCTTGTCAGCTCCTTGATATGTAAAACTATGTCTTTTGTAAACGTGAGAGCATTAATTTAAACTAATACACATTATTCATTAACAAACTTGTAAGTAAATGCAAAGCCCATGAGCTTCTTATATGAGCTTGTTCATTTCAATGAAGTTCAGTTAAATAATGATGTATATTGTAAGTTTCATTTAATCAAGATGCTGAAATACAAAATATGTAGTACTTCATTAGGCTGAAAATGCAGTGATTCTATTGATTGATATCCAGGTTTCACGTTAACACATTCATTCAGGCATCAGAAAAGACCTATACATGTCACTTCATTGATCAACTAGTTACCTTTCAAGTAAATTCGCGAAAATAAGCCAAAAAATACCTTTGTTTACCTATGCAGCTGTGGAATGCTATGACTGGGGCACATATAGCAACTTTAACAGGTCACAGTGATGAGATACTGGATGTCTGCTTTGATTATGCTGGCCAGCGTATCGCAACAGCCTCCGCTGATGGTAAGTGAAGTGACTTGGACTACTGTAAAGATTCCAATATTTGCATAAAAGCATCTTCGTCCATTTCCTTTGTTTCTGTTCTGAACTCAGCTTAATCAAAATGGAGTATTATTAGTTGAAACTATAGATCGAGCTGTATTTGTTGCATTATAGAAAGTTTTGCATTAAACTTTGGATCTTTTCCCCAGTGAAAATTTTTGTATTTTTCATATTTTATTCACCTTTAACATCAAGCCTGTTAGAATATAACTTGTTTGTGGCTGGAAATGTATTTTAAATATTTAGATAAGTGGCTTTTGAGTGAATTTTGCTTTGGATAGCACAGATTTAAGCACAGCAGGATAATACACAACGAAGAGTTGGTGAAATAAGCAAATTTGTTTGTTATTGGTATGCAGCAATTTTGCATGCTTATTATTATTTTTTAAGAATCACAATAAATAGTTTTCTGTATTCACCAGCAGAAACCATTAAGAAGACAACCTTTCCCAGCCAGATCATAGCTCCTTTAAATGTACTTTATCCTTGGGGGGAAACTGAGTTAATATCTTTATCATTAGAAATCAAACTTGAGGATGAGGCCCTTCTGGCCTTATTAAGATGCTCTTATTGAAAAGCATACTTAAACAGAAGAATTGCAAATGGCTCCTAATCTATTAACAGGATCAGGAAGAGTCTATAATGCAGAAACAAGAAAGTGCATTGCAAAACTAGAAGGGCACGGATGTGAGATTTCGAAAGTAAGTTGTATGTGATTTGCACCTTTTCTTATTTAATTATGTATGACATTCAATCTGCCATAATTATTATATATAATTATTATCCGCCATAATTATTCTGTGACACAGGAATACTGTTAAAGAATAAGCACATGGTTTTTAGTATTTTGGTGAAATGTTAAGACCACTGCCTTCTGAGACTTCTGCCATCACCCGTACTCCTTGCTTCTGTTGGACCTCCTGCTCTTCACTCTTTTTCATTTCTATGCACACCTGATTTATGAAATGGAAGAGAAAGAACATTTCTGTGGGAAAATACATAAAAGGTCTAATTTTCAAAAGTGCTTAAGGTACTTGGAAGCTCAAAGCCCATTTTAAAAATCACTTGGTTTTGAGAAGTTTACTCGTGCTTCACTGAAAATCTTCTCAAGCTCAATTTTGAATGCCAAAGTTCAATGTCAAATGCATTTAGTTACTTCCAAAATTTTGCATATTTTAAAAACTTTGTTATTTAACGCTTGCAAGTTTTCAAATTTCATTTTCAAATAGGTAATTTTCATTAGCTTCCATGCTAGTGTGATATACTTGTGTTGCTTTTTTTGGATGCATTTTGTAATTGAATTGTTCGTATTTTGAAACTAGGATGGTTCTCTATGAACAAAATTGTGCTGATTTGGCTAGTATAATCACTCTACTGAGAATATTAAGTTCAGCAGTGCTAGTCCTTCCTCACTTAATACACGCAGTACAATATTTGACACTCAGTGTAGGTGCACTGAGGAACGTAGTCTGAATACTTGCTGATGTGGGAGGGTTAGGGACACTGCTCATCAGGGTCCACAGTTCTGGCATGATTTCTCTGCTGGAAGTGAGAATCTGCTGATCTGGGAGCATTCTGAGAAGTCAATCTATTTCTGCAGATGTTCTGTGTAGCTGTGATCACTTGGGAAGGTTATTACTTAGAATCTGATTTCTGGAGAATGGGCATTTTGCCCTCAGAAATTAAATAAAATTGCTTTACATGATAAACCAGGTAGTGTCTGGTTAGTGCTTAAAAAAATCTGATTATCTGGAAATGCATGCAATTTAGGGAATGAATGTTTAACAAAATATGAAAACATACTGCATAATAAGTTACATTCAGTGGGAGTTTGGATATTATACAGACATATGGTATTTAAAGTAGAACTCTATAAAATATGTGTATCTGCTACATTGGAATAATTATAATGTTTAAATAAAGTTGTTACCATTGTAGAGCAATTGTGATCTTGGCAGATAATATTCTAAAGTCTTGATCCCAGTGTGGTCATTGTCTATGGACCTTGGTACATGCACAAAATTTCCAGCCACAGAAGTTTGCCAGGATGATGCTAGTGGAATACTTTCCTTAATTTTAGCAGGAAAAAAATAAAAAAAATAATGCAGGAGTTGCTGGCCTCTGTTTTCATCTTTTAATTTCTAGATATGCTTCCTTTTCTAGACAAAGTAATATATTAAGTAATATAATTCTTTTCTATCTTTTTAAAAGATATGTTTCAACCCTAAAGGCAATCGTATACTAACAGCCAGCTCCGATAAAACAGCTCGACTCTGGGATGCTGCTACTGGACACTGCCTTCAGATATTAGAGGGTCACAGTGATGAGATATTCTCCTGTGCTTTCAATTACAAAGGCGATATAATCATTACAGGTAACTAACATATTCCAAATTATCTTTTTTTTTTCTCTGTTTTTGTAATACATTTTAAATCTTGTTATGCTAAAAAATTAAGGAGTCTGAAGAGTCCTGTGGTGACACGCCAAAAATAACTTAGCAGTGACTTAAAATACAGAAAAGCTATAACCTTTAAATATTTTTAATATATATTAAGTATGTAAATATTTAATATATAACTATGGCCATGAAGAAATTTGTGTAGAGACATGAACATACCTTACTGTCTGTCCTATGGGCATGTACTGGCCCCAGGCCAGCGAGGAAGCCATGCTCTTGTAATGCATTGCAGTGAGGAAGTTCTGGGTGAGAAAAATGCAAAGCTTTGTGAATGGGAGCATACCTATTGGGTACTTGATGCAGCACTCTGTTCAGGTTTCTTTCATTTCAGCCAAAAAGTCCTGGGAGTGGGAAAACATGTAAAGAGTATTTGTGATTGCTTTGACCTTTGTATTGAACTACCAAAATATGGGGGTGCAGGATGATCTCAGTGAAAGATACTGCTGCAGGTCCTGCTGTCTTTTGCTGGTTGTGGAAAGAAAAAATGTTATCTTTCTGTCTTCTCTACTTTCAAAGCAGTCTGTTGATATAGTTAACAAAAATGAGTATGTTGTCCTAAACTTTCCCTCACAATGTGTGTTTATTACTAGGGAGCAAGGATAACACCTGCAGAATATGGCACTGACTGAAGACAAGGAAAGATCCAGTATAGTATGTGCCTGCATCATGAGTTTTGTAGTCAATAAACTCAGTCTTCAGATCGTTTTTCTATTAACCCATTTGTTGTTTCAGCTTTGCTGAAGTAACCAAGTTACCTAGATTTTGATAGGTTAGACTTACTGATGTCTAGTAGATGGAGAATCACAGAGTAGCAGAAGTGACCTCTGGAGATTGTCTAGTACAATATCCCTGCTCAGAGCATGTCAGCTCAGCAGGCTGCCCAGGGCCCAGTCAAGTGGGTTATGAATATCTGCAAGGATGGAGACTCCACAGTTTTTCTAGGCAGTCTGCTCTAGTGTTTGATCACCGTCACTGCTGAAGTGGAATGCTTTTTTGTATTTCAGTTTGTGCTTGTTGCCTCCTCACTCAATACTACTGAAAAGAGTCTGGCTCTGTCATCTCTGTTACCTGAGAGAAATCATGATTAGCATGAATGAACCTGGGACACCCCCATTTCTTTGTGTCTTCGTTTTCTTGTAGCTCTCCTAATAAAAATAAATAAATAAAAACAAAAAATACAGCATTAGTATACTCTCAAGAGTGAAAGGTGTGTTGTTATGCACCTGCTTTGAGTAATTTTGTATTTTTTTGTGTAATAATAAAGTATTGAGTTAAAACATTAGTTTTGTTATTTGTAATAAAATACCTCACTTGATATTTCCAGTGAAAAACATTAAAAATCATTTATGAACTGTATTGCTACTAACTTTTGCATGCATACTGCAGTTAAACTTCTACTCATACCCTTCCATATTTGCCCACACCTTTCCATTCCATTTTGGTCATCCCTAGTTCTTCCATTCTTAACTAAGGTAAAAAAAAAAATAAAAATAATAATTTTAGTAGCAACGTGAAACACTGCCCATCTAAGATTTGTAGCTAAGGATCATAGCATGAGCTGCGAAGTGGATAATGAACTCCTGCAAGTTATTTGCCATCATACAATGAGCTCTCTCCACCAATTGCCAACACGCTTCACCTGTGCTCAACTCTCCCACCTCCTACCAGAGCACCTGAAGCTGCAGCTGCTCTTTTCAGGTGAGTAGCAAAGTAGCAGAGCTGAGTGGTGACCTCTGTCAGGCTTGGAAGAAGGGATGAAGAAGCAAAGAGGGTAGGATAGAAGAAAATAAGTGATGAGGTATTGAGTAAGAGAGACAAGGAAGAAAGGAAGCACGTAGCAGAGAATGCACTTGAAGGTATGTGTTTATATTGTGTATCTAAGGGTGGTTGTAGACTTAAAAATGTTAAGTGTAACACGAAGTAGTAGTGCTGGTATGGTCTGGCTCTTGCTGAATGCTTGCCAGTATCTTTAAGCATAAATGAAGAAACAAAAGTGCCCTGGAAAACACCCTGGTTGTTTGAAGAAATGTCATCAGTGGGAGAACTAAGCAATGTGCTGTGTCTCATTTAGAGTTAAACCTGTAGCAGGAGACAAGGTGGCTAGTATTAATGTTGCAGTAATGCTTGTGGTGTTTCCTTGTGTCTTGTGCAAAGACTTGTGGTATCAGTGTCTCCCTAATCTAGAATTAAAAGGGTCAGGAAGGACAATACATTTCTGTTTTATTTTAGAACTGACCAAAACCCCTAAATCAATTTGCAGCTTTAATAGGAGATGTGAAATGGTGAATTCTGGTTAACGAAAGTGGAGGAAAGGGAGTATAATGAAACGTGCAAATACTGCTCGATAGTTAAAAACTGAAATTTGACCTGCTATAAAATGATCACACAAATTTTTGGACTGTGAAAAGGAAATAGATTTTTGCTTAATCTTTGTGTTCTTTTATATTTTCTATTCCATTATAAATTTTCTCCTGTACTATGCTAGCGATTCAATGAATGAAACACCTGTAGTATCTTCTAGCTTTTGGGCCTTGTCCTATTTTTTATGACAAAATTCTGACTGAGTTGAGGTTTCACAGACAAAGCATTAGACTGGGAGGCCACATGGACTTTATTTCTGTTTCTCTTTAGGTTTCCCGAGGGAATAGAATTACTTTTCATGTTATGTTATCCAGGTTTCTTGCTCAAATGTTTAATACATCTGCTCCGATTCACAGCACTGTGGAAAAATGTACTGACTTGGTACTTCAAAAACTTAAATGGTACACCAGGTATATGCTTGTGTATGTGCTAGGTGTATACTCATGTGTGTGCTTCGATGGTAGGCTCTCTACACCTTGATTTACCCACCTGTAGATTTAATACATTATACAGAGACTTATCAGGAGTGCATTCTATAGATTTATCATTCTAAAACCATTCTGTCTATGAATGAAACCAGCTTGAGACCACTTCAGTCTTCACAACCAAAATTTCTTATGTGTGTGCTCTAACTCTGTTGTCTGGTATGTTTTAGTCTTACCAAAACACTTGGCTTCTATGTACCTTGTGCTCTCCAAGCTACCACTTGAGTGATTCCCACTTGTAATCACAGGGCAGATGGGGTGGAGTGAGGTTTTCAGCATCTTATTGAAACTCTGTCAGCTTCACCCCCTGCCATATTATTGACAAGCATTACTGCAGGAGGCTCCTGGAGTTTGCTGCAGTAAGGACTGTCACAGTGGAAATCAGATTGGCTTTATTGTTTCTGTTTCTGTCCTTTAGACCTCTGAATCCTTCTAGCATTTACCTCTGTAAATATACAAGTTTCTTTTTATGGAGAAAAAAGCCCTTAGCTTCTGTCATGTTGTTTTCCCAGGACAGTACATACATTTTGCAAAACAAGGACAAAGATTTCCATGTAAGTGTATGAGGTGTACTTAGACTTGACATATGCTTTTCGTGTCTCTTGAGATTCAGATCCTTTTCTGAATATGTGAGGATGATGTTAATACTCATACCCACTCAGGTTTTAAAAATGGCATTTTGCAAGAACTTGTTTTTGTGCTCCTCCTGTGTGGTCACTTGTATTTCCTGGGTAGTCAGTGAAAGGATATGGGACATGCCCTGCGTGGTTGGATGTTCCAGTTTGCTGTGCTGTACTGTGGGATTTTCAGCTGAAGGTTGGAGGAGGGCACAGTACCCCTCAGCCAGACCTGTCCTACAACAAGTTGTTTTAATTAGTTTGAAAATCCAGCTGTCTAATTTAACGGTCTATCCTGCTAAATGCTTGGCAACTACAAGGTATTTTCTGAGGGCCTATTCCTAGTGATGGCAACGGCCTTAGAGTGGATTTTAAACGTTAATGCAGTGGCATTGTGAGTTAGCTTAAATGTTACTTATGAATGGCTCTGGCTTGAATTAAAATTTCCTTCTCAGTTGGACTTTTATTTTTTATATTTTATTAAGTGACTTATGTGGGCTCTTGATTTCAGTGGGGTGGTTTTTGCTGTTTTTTAAAGGCATTTTGAACATCAGAGTGTAGGATTCATTGTGACATCCCTATACTGATGTTATGCATCTCTGTGTGAAACCAGACAAGAGAAAGTTAAATCAGCCTCTCCAGAAAGTTATTTGTGGAATTTAATAGGCTAAATGTAAATAGGCAACAGTTTTCATTGTTGACCGCGATACAATGAGTAAGCTACTGAAGTCATAACACTGAAGCCATGACACTGAAGATTTCTCACAAAATGGAGGAAGATTGTTTTTCAGATTCTAATAATTCCACTATTGAAAGCACCCTAAGCTAAACCAAACTAAATGCAAAATCTTTTTAAATGCTTGTTTTTTCAATAGGTAGTTCTCCTGTGTAATTCAGGTATTTACAGGCCACGTTCTGCACTTTGTTAGCTGGGTTGTACAGCCACTACTGGGACCTGCACTGCACCTGCTGCAGAAGCAAATCTCATGGGCTGCTTTGGATAGCCAGGGATTCCCTGAGTATTATAGGGCTTCTCTCTTTACAAAATCATGGTGCATCACTTTCAAGTACTTAATCAGGCTCCACTTGAACCTATGCCCAAGTTTTGCATCCTTTCATCTGATTAAGAGTCACCTCTTTTTGTTTATTTTATGGGTTTAATTTGATGGGTTCTAGCTTTTATGTTGCAAGAGACAGTGAGCAGCCACTCACTGCATCCTCATGGTATTAACAACATGCATCCCACTCAGGTAAACAGGCTAAACCACACATAATTTACTCTAAGGCTTTTACTGAAATCTGTGCATAGTATGAAGTTCTTATGTATTTAAAGTTGACTTGAATTTTTTTTCAGGATATATTTTTTTAATAGTGAACAACAACTCTTGTTCTAATTTACACAGCTATGTTAAATGTTGGTTTCCTTTTTTTGTTTAGCAGTAGAAATACCTTTCCATCTAGGCAGTAGGGAAAGAAATATTCGTGCAGACTTTGACAGAGGAAACTCCTTAATGTCTGTAAGCGTATAAACTGTAAACATATTAGTAAGCACTAACAGGGTTTTGTTATGTTGGCATTATTCTGGGGTTAATTCTTTGCAATGAATGTGTAATTTATTTTCTGTGATAGCAAGAATGTTCTGATTAGCCTTATGTCACCTGAATGAATTGTGGAATGTGAGGAAAGCCACTGCTCTGGGAATGAGGTAAAACCCAGTGCTGCTTTAGTTAGGGCTGTGGGTCAGATGTTTCATTCAGAAGCATTGCTTTGAGAAGCAAATAATGGATGCTACAGGGATGACATGCAAATATTATTTAATTGGTCGAACATTTTTTTTAGGAAGACAAAGACAACATGTTATAACATAAATTTATTTCTGAACAAACTGCAACATTAAGAACTATACAGAGAAACTGCATCACGCTTACAACTTAGTCATGATATTTGTGCTTTGTAGGATAAGTAAACATTAATTCTATCACAGCAAAAAATTGATATACTGACAACTAACTGTATTTGGCTTAAAATAAATACACTTTCCCATTTATTAACTCAAAGCACTTTTATATAATACTTGGTGCTTTTTACTGACTTTCAGCCTCGGAAATGCTGAGCATTCAGTGTTACCACGCGTGTTGGTGTGAGTTGTGGATGTTCAGCAGTTTGTAGGAATAAGCCCAGTGACTGCACAATTAAGTTTAGTGTGTGCAACAAACTGACCTTTATCTCAACAGTAAAGAGACCCCCACTGTTCTGTATATGTTGCAGAGATGTAGAATTTCTCATGTTATTTAATGTTCTGTATTAGGTTTCACTGACAATTTGTTTCTCTCAACAAATGAGTGAAAATCATTCAACTTCATGAATGGTTTTAAAGATAAAATTGAGAATAATATGGCTCTTTTTCATAAATTATTTAAAACTACTTCAAAATCTTCAAAAATAGTTAGTGCAAAAGGATAGTTTTCTCTTCCCCCCCTCCCAAGTAATAGTACAGAAGCATATATTGTTATATGGAAAATAAAATCTCTTAAATATTTTATTGGGAAAGGCTGGTTTTCTATTATGCTATTTGGGAAGGGAGAGGCAAAAGATAAAGATTTTCAAAGAAATAAATCTCAGAAGAGCTTTGATGTGATAGGTTATATTTACCTTTAAATTCAAAACCAATCTCTTTGGCAGAGTCGAGAGTATCACTGAGCGCATGATACTAACAGATCATCTCAGCAAGAAGATGCTGTAGTATATCTTATCAAAGTTATATAAATGTTATAGCAATGTGAACTATCATACATAGTCCAAACACTTGCATCCAAAATGAACAAGCACGTGTGCTGAGATTTTAACAATCATTTTGATTTCTTAAAAATCTTAATTTTCATAACTTTCTGTCGAGGCAGCACTCTTTTCAGATGTGTATTTTTTTACTTTATTAACAATTTACTTGATTAAGCTAGAACTAAAATAGTATTTTTTTCACTACTTTTAACTCACATGTAGCATGTTACATGGTGCTTTAAATAAAAGCACTTTGTGTAACACATTTACTATCATCACTCCCTTTAACCAGGTAGGGACACTGAGGCACAGAGGTGAAATGACTCGCCTGAGGTCACCTGGCAGGCCTGCGGTGGGACAGGGCTTCAGAAACCCGCTGCCGTGACTCCCATGACTCCCAGAGCTGTGCTCGGGGACATACCAGGCATAGAGATCCCAAACTGCACTGCCTCTGAGGGAAAAGAAATTTCTTTTAAGGGTACTAACTGAGATTCTAGATCTCATTTCCTTGAGAAGAATACAGGGATGGCAAACAGCTATGGGAGAGAAATAACTGCATGGAAAGAAACTGAAATGTGTTTTCAGTAGGCTTTTATTGTGCCATCTAGCTGTAAA